TCTTGAGTTAAACTAACCTCTGTTCCCCAAGTTGATGGTTCTAGAGTTAATCTAATCTCTGTTCTCCTGCAAGTTTTTCTAAAGTTAAACTAACCTCTGTTCTCCTGTGAGTTGGTTCTAAAGTTAATCTAACTTATGTTCTCTTGTTTGATGGTTCTAGAGTTAACATAACATATCCTAAAATTAATAAAATAAATACGAAGAAATTCATATATAAAAGTCGTATTATATAATTAAGTTTTAACTAATTATTTAAAAGAAGAAAAAGAACATGAAGAGGGTTTTCTAATATTTAGAGGAAGAGCATTCCACAAATTAGGAGCCTTGACCATAAAACTTCCTACCGTCACCAGTCGAGCTCTTGAAGCAGAAAGTAATAACAGATTTAAGGATCTGAGATTGCAAGAAGGGATGTTGGGAGTAAGAAGCTCAGATAGATATGATGGTGCAAAACCGTTCAGGGATTTATAAACCAACACCATTTTGAAGTCAAGTCTAAAAACCATAGGGAGCCAATGCAATGAGGACAGAACAGGAGTGATGTGCTGATGTTTATGGGACCTTGTGAGAACTCTAGATGTAGTGTTTTGGACTAGTTGAAGAAGATTAAGAGAACTTTGGGGCAGACCAGAAAATAAAGAATTACAATAATCAAGGTGAGAGGAGACAAGGGCATGAATAAAAGTTTATGCATCGGTTAAAGAGATAAATGCTCTGATTTTAGCAAAATTCCTAATTTGAAAAAAATACTGTTCTAGTTATGTTCTTAAAATGTTTAGAAAAACTAAGATCAGAATCAAAGATCACCACCAAATTTCTGATTTCCAAGAAGAGAAAGGGACTGAATTACTAAATCCCTTTTGGCCTTGGGTCCAAACACCACCACCTCAGTTTTATCATTGTTGAGGGAAATATAATGATCAGACATCCATGTTTTGATATCTGCAAGACAGAGGGTAAGTTTATTGAAAGTAGAGGTCTGATGGGTTAATAGCCAAATAAATCTGGGAATCGTCTGCATAGAAATGAAAAGAGACATTGAATTTATGAATAACCTGACTAAGTGTTTTTATCTAAAAATGATGCAGAAAAACTGGTCCATGCATGTGTCACGTCTAGACTGGACTATTGCAATGGTTTATTATCTGGGTGTCCAAATACTTCTTTAAAACGTCTTCAGTTGATCCAAAATGCTGCTGCCAGAGTCTTAACTGGAGTTACTGGGAGAGATCATATTTCTCCAGTTTTAGCTTCTCTCCATTGGCTCCGTGTCAAATCCAGAATAGAATTCAAAATCTTACTTCTAACCTACAAAGCTCTCAACAACCTAGCTCCATCTTATATTGCAGATCTTATTGTTCCATATTTTCCTAACAGAGCACTTCACTCTCAGACTGCAGGTTTACTTGTGGTTCCTACAGTTTCCAAAAGCAGAATGGGAGGAAGATTTTCCAGTTCTCAGGCTCCTCTCTTGTGGAACCAACTTCCAGTTTCTGTCCATGAGGCTGACACATTGTCCAGTTTTAAGACTGGGATTAAGACTTTCCTTTTTGATAAATCCTATAGTAAGGGCTGGCTTGTTATGCTGCTATAGACTTAGACTACTAGAGGACAAATTGACCTCATTTCCTTAAATGAATTGTTAAAATTGAATAGTTTTCATTTGATACTATTTCTATCTTAACATGTGATTCTTGATCTGCCATTGTGTATCTGTTCCTACCAAACCCAGCCGGTCGAAGCAGATGGCCGCTTGTCCTGAGCCTGGTTCTGCTAAAGGTTTTTTCCTCATGAGGGAGTTTTTCCTTTCCACTGTCGCCTTCATGCTTGCTCAAGATGAGAGTTCTGTGATGGAGTTAAACTCAAAGCTGCTCCTCAGATAAATAATGTTCAATTATTATTTTTATACATGAATGTTTCTGTTCAGTGTCCTGAGATGACTTCTGTTGTGACTTAGAGCTTTATAAATAAACTGAATTGAAATTGTTCTCCTGTTTGATGTTCTAGAATAAACCTAACGTCTGTTCTCCTGTTTGATGTCTAGAATAAACCTAACGTCTGTTCTTCTGCAGCTTTTCCTGGTTGCTGTTTGACCAATCAGAGGGCTGAAAAAACCATGAGGTTCCTCCTCCTGTTCTGCCTTCTGGCTTTTGGCCACACCAAACCCTACCGGCCTGTCAACATCATGGACTTCATGAAAAACTATGACATCATGATGGCGGATTCTGATGATGATGACAGTGATGAAGAGGACGATGAGGATGATTATGATGATGAGGACTGTCCAGCCCACTGCCGTTGTTCACCTCGAGTGGTGCAGTGTTCTGATCGCGGTTAGAGCTTCTGTCTAAAACTGGTCTCTTTCTGGTTTAACTCTGGTCTTTCATCAGACGTTTGTGTTTCTGTCAGCAGGTCTGATTTCTGTTCCCGAGAAAATTCCCGAAGACACCGAGATCATCGACCTCCAAAACAACGGCATTACCGAAATAAAGGAAAACGACTTTAAAGGCCTCAGCAAGCTTTACGTAAGAGAAACCTTACCAACCCTCAAACCCTGAGAATAATCTACATGGCCCAGAGCCAGAGCAGAAAACATGCAACAGTTACAACTGGAGTATGACGTCATGTTTTCCAGCAGTGAGCGGCGTCTCTTTCTGTTAAAAGTTTCTACAATCAGAATTTTGCTTTTCACCTGATTACATAACAGAACCAGGACGTTACGCACTTTTTGACTATTTGTAGTAGACACACTAATGTCACCACTAGAAGAAGGGGTTAATTGGACTTTTCATAACAAAAATTTGACACTAGATCCCTGTTGCAAACCGGTCCTTTAGAATCAGGCCCATTTTGTTCTGGAAGTTATTTCCACAAGGGTTTTCCTCTAACTGAAGCAAAACATTTTCATTTAAATGTGAATAAACTGCAGCAGGCAGAAAGACGACGTGACGTTTCAGTAAAATTACATAATGTGAAATGTTACTTAATTGATTAAATGAACAACGTTGCAGTGTTTTGATCAAACCTCTGCTCCTGCCATCCTATTTTTTAAATGAGTGCTTGTTAGCAGATCCAGATGGAAATATTTAAGCATCCCTTTGATTTGGTGGCTCCAGAAAACAACCTCCCCCTAAACAGGACCCTTCGTCACAGTTGGTCTTACATCGTGTCACATACCTGACATGAAGACTCGAGCCGTGATGCTCAGAGGGCGACAGGTCAAAACTACAAGAGAAACAGCTTTCTTTTGTCTAACTTTGGTTCTTAATCTGGCAGTAGTTCAATCAGCTGTAGGAAAAACCAAAACTACAAAAACCAAACCAAAGAACTGTGCTCGTCGTTCAGCCATCAAACAAAACGAACCCGAATCAGCTCCAACTTTCTTCCTTTTTTGTTTCTCGCTTTAAGAGTTTCAATATTTAAGAGAAAACATTGAACACCCAAAACAAAGCCGGTCTGACGGTGAGCCCTTGAGCCCAGTATCTGGCTCTAATCTTGTAATTATTTAGTTGAAACAGTCAGTTTAACTAAAGCATAATGACGAATAATGGTTCTTGAAAAACGTTTCCATCCAGATGTTTGCAGAGCTCTGCTTTAACTTCACTCTCACTCTTGTTTTTTCTGGCAACAGGGCCTGTTTCTGATCAACAACAAGATCTCCAAGATCCACCCAAAGGCCTTCAGGAACATGCACCACCTCAGACTGCTGTATCTGTCCTACAACCAGCTGACGGAGATCCCCGCCAACCTGCCGCCCAACGTCATCGAGCTGCGATTCCACGAGAACGAAATAAACAAGATCCAGAAGGACGCGTTTCAAGGCCTGAGGAAGCTGCACGTGTTGGGTGAGACAGCGCTCTGCTTCGGCTCTTAGTACGATCGTCAGCAAAATATGAATTTTAGCCGTTTCCATAAAACCCAAACGTGCTTCATCTGGGTACAAAAATGTCACAAACGCTTTCATTTTTACACATACTGAGCTAAAACTTTGTGTGGTAGTAGTCAAGAGTCATCCCCATCACATACTCTGACTGCTGATGGCGTGAATGGTGGCGGGTAACATGCATTTCATTAAGGAATGCTACTTTCATGTTTTCCACTGCTGGAACTTTAGGTTAATTTTTCTACTTTCCATCCATCCCGTTTAAGACACCCAATCCCTAACTGCTCTCTGGGCGCTTACATAGCTGCCCACTGCTCCACCTGGGTGTATCGCACGTGTGATGGATTAAATGCAGAGAACTAATTTCGTCATCGTACAGAAACACACAACGATGACAACACGTAGCGCTATAATACTTTCCACTCGTACAAGACTTCAGGGTTCCTCAATTAATCACAGCTCGGTGTAATTTAAACAACAGTCCAGACTGATGAGGTTTCCATCCCAGCAAATCGATTCGTCCTTAAGGACTCATCCAGATGTTTTGTGTTTATCCGACCAGAGCTGGGAGCTAACCCTCTGGCCAACAGTGGGATCGAGCTGGGAGCTTTTAATGGTTTCTCCACGCTGTACGTCGGGATGGCAGAGGCCAAACTCACCGCTGTGCCTAAAGGTAACATGCCTACGTCAGAGTCATTCTCTAAACGGATGATTTTTAACAAGTCTGTTTCTTTATTAAACCAACGACTGGTAAAAGTCTAAAGTAGGGATGTTAGTGGTGATATTTGGGGTGTTCTGTCCTCCAGACCTCCCGTCATCCATCACAGAGCTGAACCTGGACTACAATAAGATCGCCAAGGTGGAGGTAGAGGACTTCATCAGATACAAAAACCTGCAGAGGTAACGCCCACCTTTCACTCCTTCAAACGACCACGTCTGTTGAAACTGAGGCTCAAACGTAATTAAACCAACGATCCATCCTTTCCCATGTTTGCAGGTTAGGTTTGGGTTTTAACCAGATCAAGTTCGTAGAAAACGGCAGTTTGGAGAACATCCCGAACGTCAGAGAGATCCACCTGGACCACAACCGTTTGAAGAAGGTCCCCCCAGGCCTCGGCTCGCTGCGCTACCTCCAGGTGAGCTACACGTGTAGGACCGGATCAGGTCTTTTCATTCGTCTCATCAACAAAAACACGTGCTGGCTTTAAATGGAGATTCTCTGTCTTCATAGTCGTAACGAGCTTAAACAGAGAAAACTCAAAACTTCCCTTCAACCAGATTTTTAAAACGCTGGTAAGACATGAAAGTCTTTACTTACAGATTGAAGATTCAATAAGTGACACCAGGAGCTGAGAAAAGCTGCATTTTAATTAAAAATGTAAAAAGTCTGTTGATGTGTTTGTTTTTATGGTAGAACATTTATGAGGCTTTTAGAAAAACCTGAAATGAAAAGGTTTGAATGTTTTTACACTTTTTTTCACAATATACTTGTTATTGGTAACATAAAATACAAAACATGTTTAAATAGGTACAAAATTCAGAAAGAAAATATAAAAACTCGTTCAGTTCAAGAAACAAAATATACAGGTGCTGGTCATAAAATTAGAATATCATGAAAAAGTTGATTTATTTCAGTAATTCCATTCAAAAAGTGAAACTTATATTATATTCATTCATTACACACAGACTGATATATTTCAAATGTTTATTTCTTTTAATGTTGATGATTAAAACCAACAACTAATGAAAACCCCAAATTCAGTATCTCAGAAAATGAGAACATTGTGAAAAGGTTCAATATTGAAGACACCTGGTGTCACACTCTAATCAGCTAATTAACTGAAAACACCTGCGAAGTCCTTTAAATGGTCTCAGTCTAGTTCTGTAGCTGCACAATCATGGAGAAGACTGCTGACGGGACAGTTGTCCAAAAGACGACCAATGACACCTTGCACAAGGAGGACAAGACACAAAAGGTCATTGCTAAAGAGGCTGGCTGTTCATAGAGCTCTGTGTCCAAGCACATTAATAGAGAGGCGAAGGGAAGGAAACAATGTGGTAGAAACAAGTGTACATGTAACAGAGGTGACCGCACCCTGGAGAGGATGGTGAAACAAAACCCATCCTAAAATGTGGGGGAGATTCACAAAGAGTGGACTGCAGCTGGAGTCAGTGCATCAAGAACCACCATGCACAGACATATGCAAGACAAGGGTTTCAGCTGTCGCATTCATTGTGTCAAATCACTCTTGAACAAGAGACAGCATCAGAAGCGTCTCACCTGGATCCAAGCAGCTGAAATGGTTTTCTTTCGTAGGGTGGGGGGCGGTGGGGGGCTTATCTGTAGAGATCAGGGTCAGGAGCTCCATCATCTGGGGGGGGGGCTCAGAGTAGAGCCGCTGCTCCTCTGTGTCAAAAGGAGTCAGCTGAGGAGGTTCAGCTGATCAGGATGACTCGTCCTGGAGGTTTCCCGGAGCAGATCCAGAACTCTCTGGAGGGACTAGCAATCCCCTCTGGTCTGGGAACACCTCATGGTCCCCCCAGGAGGAGCTGGAGAGTCTCTGAGGAGAGGGAGGTCTGGGTTTCTGTCCTGGACCTGCTGCCTCTGCGACCCGACTACAGATATGATGTCGAAGACGGACATGAAGATAATAGTTGTTGTTTTGTTCAGATTCTCTTGAGGAGTAAACATTTAATTCAAGAAATAAACTCTTCTTGCAGTTCATGATGAGCAGCTTGTGCTGTAACTGCTAAATTCAGTACGACGTGCAACAAAATAAAGATGGACGCGTCCATGTGCACGTCTGTTGTTCAGTTCATAAAAGCTGCCATGTTGAATCTTTTGAACCAGACAGTGCCGTTTGTTACAGAGGGCTCAAAGTCCCTTGCAGCCGACCACTGGGGGTGAATTTTTAGTTTTAGCGTCCGTTCTTGTGTCAGAGTTTACAGTTTAAACAGTGAAACAAACCTAATATCAGTCTCATCACTTCACGGACTTCTCAATTAACCAAAACTAAAACCTCAGAGTTCCCAACTTCAAACTCAGATTCATGGTTTGATGGGAGGAATCAAAACCAAAGTCCCATCAACGTCTCCATTACAGCTAGAGTAGAGAATGCAGATAACTGTTGATTTAAAAGCAACTTCTCTGTCTACACAGGTGATTTTCCTTCACTCCAACAAAATCAACACCGTGGGCTTCAACGACTTCTGTCCCAAATCAGCGAGCGTCAAGAAGAACCCGTACACGGCCATCAGCCTGTTCGCAAACCCGGTTAAAACCTGGAACGTTCAGCCCGTCACCTTCCGCTGCGTGACCAGCAGGAGGGCCGTCCAGCTCGGAAACTTCAGGAAGTAGTAGAAGAAGAAAGCCGGCTCTGAATTGGACCTCCTGATGAACACAAGGACAAACTGGGAATATTTCTGATAAATAAAACCTGATAAAATGAAATAAGTTCAAATGTTTTTATCCCGATGAGTACCAAAACCGCTCTGTTCAGGTTTATTTTACGTCCAGAGGCATCTGTCAGGTAATAACGAGTTTTAAACTAACAATAAAGAGTGTTTACTGCAGTTACACAGAGGCGGGATCACATTTAGACCCTGAGATGTTACTTTGATGGGAGAACAGCGCCACCATCTGGGCAGGTTTTAAAGTGTCTGTGACATGCGGGTCCTACAAATACAAAAAGTGGAAGAAAACTTCTTAATATTTAAGACATTTGGCATAACACACACGATTTGACCCATTTGATCACATAACGAATATTTTCTTTTTAACTTGTTGCAGCCAAAGTGAAACAGGAAGTGACATCAAAGGGGAATTTCCTGGTCTTTGAACTCTTCTTCTGTCTGATAGGAAATTAAAATAATCTGAAGAAACATCAGATTCTCCTCTGCTGTGGGTGTTGTTAGCCGCTGTAGCAATGCTTTGCTCCCCTTTGTCATCACTTCCTGTTACTGACATCACTTCCTGTCACTGTGTAGGAAAATATCTCAACAACTGTTCATCTCAGAAGCAGCATGATTTTTTGTTTTGCGATGCATTTTAATGTTTTATTTCCAAAAATGCATCACAGGCACTTTAAAGGAAACTTTGACCTGATTTTTAATCTTTTTTTATTTTAAATAAGACTCTGTTAAAATAAATTTTAATACATTTTAAGATTAAGACTGATGTAAACGTGTCCTCTGCAGGGCTGAGGCCGGACCGATCAATCATTAGTTCCTAATCAGCCAATCAGATCACAGACAGCTTCTGAAGGCCATGTAACGGCCGTCGGAGTGTCTTGTGTCCTTATCTCCTGCAGAATGGTGCTATATTTATTGAGGATGTCTTTAATTAACCTGCAACGCCTCAAACAGTATTGTCTCTGACGTCAAAACTAATTAATAAAACTTAATTTGAAAAATAAATTGAGTATCTGATTTTATTATCACATTCTTCTCTTTCTCTGAAATAAACGGCACTTTTAAACTTGAAAATAATAAATTAAAAAAAAGCTACTACTTTCTTTCCTACTACTTTCCAACAGGAACCTGAGGCTTCCATCTGTAAAAATCTAAACTCAAAATGTTTTGACGTTTAAACTGGAAAACCTTGGATGTTCTCTGTCTGCCGGACCTGGTTCTGGAGGGCAGCTGCTGACGGGACCTGCTAACAAGACCTGCTAATGCAACTAACAAGACCATGCTGCTAACAGTATCAAGCTGCTAACTGGACCATGTTGCTAAGATAACCTCACTGTCATCAGAACCACTCTGCCAGTAGGACCATGCTGCTGTAGATTTATTTCTTTTTCACTTTTGGCGCCTTGTTTCTGTATTTTTGTTGCATGCTTTGAATAAATCCCAGTTTATGTTAGTTTTGGGGCTCCGAGCCCGACTCCACTCGCATTAAGCGTCGAACCTATGAGAACGGTGCTGCTGTTGTTTGGTGTATTGTTTTGCACTATTAGTGACTAGCGTATATTTTAGATCGTTTAGCGTATCTTTACCGTTTCTTTTTACACTTTATATATTTTTGCTATTGTTGGATGTAACTGTGTACACAATTTCGTTCCACCTCATGCACCACATGTGATGCGAATGACAATAAAGAACCTTGAATCCTTGAAAAGAAGAGTAAAGTTGAACACCTCAGATGTTACAGTGACATCACGTGACTAAGTTTAATATTTGTTGGTAAAATCTTTAAATACTTTATTAACTGTGGTTGTTTAAAAAGGTTCACTTCAGTTTTAAGCTATTTTATATTATTTACTCTTTTGAAATGACACTATTTGGTTATTCATTCATATTCGATAATTGCCATGTTGTCATTATTCAAACTGAAAATAAAAGTTACAGAATTGTGATTTTAACTGATCGATTTTTGTGTTTCTTTGAGTGAGGGGATCACAACGTGGCCAAGGACTCACTAACTTTAATCAATGTCTCGAACGGTTGAGGTAACATCTGTTAAAAGGTGTATTGTGGTTCAGACTAAATAAATATTCCCCTGCACTCATTTAAACTGAATAAAACCTGATTAGTTTATAATAAACCTCTAGAATGTTTCTTTCCCTCGTGAATCCATAGAAATCATTTTAATTTAATTCAACCCGTCTGACGGCAGATGGACACCAGGGAGTCGGTTTGCAGTTGTCTCAATAATTAATATCTTCTCACGTTTTATTTTTATAAATCCTGATGCACCCTGAGGTTTGGGCCCAGGCTTCAACCCATTAGGTAACTCGAAGTTTTGGGGCAGGAAAGTAGAAATTAGAAGAAAACTAATAAGCAGTTTGCATCATTCAAACAAATATTTTACTAAACTCAAACGTTTAATAAATTTAAACCCATGTCTGGATTACTGAGTGGTGGGATCAGGCTGAGTTTAATTTTCCTCTGGTCCGTCAGTTCTTCCAGCAGATGTCACTGCAGAACTAAAAGCTGCTTCTTGCGTCTGCAGAGGCCAGAAGACAGGACAGCTTCAGCTGTGGTCCATCTCATTTGTTAGAACTTACATTTCAACTAACAGAACGGCCAAAATCATTTATTTAAAAGTAAATAAATAAAAACAAAGTTTAACAGTGCAGATTGTGTGGCTGGGGGTCTGTTAGCGGACCTTTGACCTCTGACCTCTGACTGTAACCCAGCAGGACTCCTTGCTTGTATTTAGGCCCCGTTTTATTCAAATATTGAGCGAACTCGTTTAAAAGATAACTAATTCAAGTTTTCAAGGTTTTTCTTCTCTGCTTCTGGTGGAACAGGAGAGAGAAATAAACCGTCCACAGAAATTACCTCGAATTAAAGATTTCTTCGGCTGCCACCCACAGCAGCCGAAGACCTTAGAATGCCGTCTCGACTATTAGCGAATGATGTGGCGCTGTTGGTGTCATCTTGCCTTGATCTTCAGCGCTCACTGGAGCTGTTCATAGCTGGGATGAGGATCAGAACCTCCAGATCTGAGGCCATGGTCCTGAATTTGTAAAGGGTGGACTGCACTCTCCTGGGTAGAGACTGGAAGAACCAGATCCTGGATCCAGGAGGTCTAAAGGAGTTTTCTCTGCAGCGTAGCTGGACTCTCCTTAGAGATCGGGTGAGAAGATGTACTGAATTGAGAAAGCTCCCTGGAGATAAGTCCAGTTGTTTTGTTTTTTAAATATTATTTTGATTTGTCATGTCCTGAATCTAAAAATGTGGACACAGCTCCTGCTTCAGTTCTACACGGACCAGATAGCCCTTAAACGCAGCCCAGGTACCACTACAGAACGCCTCGAGGAACATGAAGTCATAAGACTTCTCCAGGGCCACAAAACATGTGGACTGGAGAGGCAAACTATCACGAACCCCTTAGCAAGTCCACGAAGATAAAGGTGAGAAAACAAAGCTTGCAGAAAAATGATAAAGAATCGAATGCTTGTTGGACACACAGGAGACAGCTCAGGGACACAGGCGCTCCATAGCATTGGTGACTGAGGGGACAGCTTTAGGGACACGTTCCTGCACCGTCTGTCAGAAACGGTGAATATCTCTTAGTGACAAACTTGCACAATATCACTTCTCCTCAGTTAACAACAGAAATACTAGATCTTCCTCCTCCAGCTCCTCCATCATCCATAAAGAAACATCCAAGTCTGCAAACCGTGCTGTCTGTGCTGATCCTAACTGTGAGTGACATGCACTGCAGAAAATGACAGGGGGAGGACAGCAGGAGGACAGCGGGAGGACAGCAGGAGGACAGTGGGAGGACAGCAGGAGGACAGCAGGAGGACAGCGGGAGGACAGCAGGAGGACAGCGGGA